AGTGCTAGGAGTTACTTCAGGCGAGTTATTAGTGAATGGTGCATGGAAGTGTGAAAGCCTGGGGTGCTGCTGTTCATTTCTGCAGGTGACAAACACTGTACCTAAACCTATTTAAAACTTTCTTCATTGGGACTGCAGAGATGGGTCAGGGTTAACAGCACTTACTGCTCTTGTAGAAATCCAGGTTTCATTCCCTGGATCCACATTGGGTGACTCACAAATGCCTGTAAATCCAGTTCTGGTTCTGGTGCCCTCCTCTGGTGTATGCACCCATAGGAATATATCCACATACAAACATACCTAAGCACATAAGTAAAATCAATTTTTAAAAGATTTCTTTTATGTGCATGAATGTTTGGCCTACATCTAAGTATGTGAACTGCATGTATTCTGGTGCCCTCAGGGGTCGGAAGGTGTTGGACTCCCTGGAACTGGAGCTATGGATGGTTGTGAGCTGCCATGTCCCCTGCAGAAACAAGTGCTCTAAACCAGAGCCACCTCTCCAGCCTGAAAACAAAAACTTAAAAATATATCACCTGGGCACGGGAGTGCACACCTTTAATCCTCGGGAGGGAGGCAGGAGGATCTCTGAGTTCCAGTTCAGCCTGGTCTACAGAGCTAGTTCCAGGACAGCTAGGGCTACACAGAGAAACCTTGTCTGGAAAACTAAAATAAATTATTTTCTTCATTTTCAAATCATAGACTTTTGGGGTTCTTTATGTTTTGTTCTTCTGAGACAAAGCTGGGATTAAAGGTGTGTGCCACCTTTAACAGCTTTTTAACGGTTTGCATTAATAGCTTAAAATGCAAACACAGTATACAATTGTATAAAAATGTTTTCTTCAAAGCCTTACTTTCTCTTCTGAGACATGGTCTCACTGTATAATCTAGGCCAGTCTTGAATTCAAGGTGTCAGTCTCCAAGTACTGAGATTGTGAGGAAAAAAAAAACCTTTAGAAATTATTATTTTTATGTGTGTGGACATCTGTACATGTGTGTGGGTGACCACTGATGCCTACAGATGTAGTTACAGGTAGTTGTGAGCTGCCTGATGTGGGTACTGATTTGGATCCAGATAAGAATAACCACTGAGTCATCTCTCTAGCCCCTAAAATGTTTTTTCAGCCAAGTATGGTGGAGCTTGCCTGTAATTCCAACACAGGGGAAGCTGAGGCAGGAAGACTGTGAGTTCCAGGCTATCTTATGATAAAGAGTAAGGCTTTATCTCAAACAAAACAAAAACCCAAGATAAACCTGGCCTGGTGGTGCATGCCTTTAGTCCCATCACTCGGGAAACAGAGGCAGGAGAGATCTCTGTGAGTCCAATACATTCCTGGCAACCATATGATGTCCTTAGTTTTGTTTGTTTTGGAGATAAGTCTTGACTATATACAGTTTAGGCTGTCCTAAACACACTCTTACATGCTAGGATATTACAGGCCAGTGCTGCTACACTTACCTAAACTTTATTACATTTTTAGTTCTTTGTTTATCTATGCAATTGTTTTTATGTGTGTGGGAGTTGTCTGGGCTCCAGATTCCCTGTGTCTAGAGAGTTGTGAGCTGTCATGTGGGTGCTGGGAATCAAACTCCAGTGACTTATTTTTATTTTATGTGCATCTATGTCTGTGTGAGGATGCCCTAGAATGGGAGTTACAGTTGTGAGCTGCATGTGGGTACTGGTAATTGAACCCAGGTCCTTGGGAGAGTAGTCAGCGCTCATAACCACTGAGCCATCTCTGCAGCACCTCCTGAGCTCGTAACTACTAAGCCTCATCTCCAGTCCAATTCCTACTTATTTATTCTGTGTCCATCAAGAGGGAAGTGTGTGCATGTGTGGTGGGAAGAGACGATTTGTGGGTCCAGGGATTAAACGCAAGACATTAGGCTTGGCAGCAACAGTCCCTGACTTTTGAGGCATCTCATCCACCCAGCTCAAACTTCTGAGACAAGGCCTTGTTCTTCTTCCAGGCCCCTTCAATCGCTGGGTGCAAGCAACCCCTGCTTCAGCCTCCTGAGTAGCCGGGACAAATGGTGCAAGCCACCACACCAGCATAATGACTTCAGACTTTCAAAGAAATCATTAAGGTCATCGATAAAAGCTTCAGTTATACGTTCTCTAGACAAGTGGAGTTTTTTTTAGCTTCCTTGTAATCTTACAGATTTTAATCATGATTACAACTTGCTCTTCACTTAAAAGTTATGTGGTACATGGCTATTTATGACTATTCTATGACTGTTTGGGTTCAATACCCAGACTACTAAAAGAACAAGAAAACAAAAATCAAAAAACCCAAAGGTAACACATATACACACTAGGTCTGGTAAGTGTGGGAGCAGAGCTCAGCGGCGGAGTTCCCATGCTTCAGTTTCTTCAACAAAAACGGGAATCTGAGAGGGAAATGAGTTAAACTGAAAAGTACTCAGAAGAGTGCTGATCACTTAGCAGCTCCATAGATGCACTGGCCATTTCTATTATAGCTTTCCTCTAGCTGTCTTCTCTGAAACTCTCATACTTTGGTAAAACCGGTTAGAATACAAACTGGTAAATCTTTTTTTTTTTTTTTTGTGATAGGGTTTCTTTGTGAAACAGTCCTGGCAACCCATTCTGTAGACCAGATAGGCTGTCCTCAAAACTCACAGAGATCTGCCTGCCTCTGCCTCCCAAGTGCTGGGATCAACTCCTGGTGTCAAATAATCTTTAAAAAGCCAGAAAGTAAAAAAAAAAAAAAAAGCCGGGCATTGGTGGTGCATGCCTTTAATCAGGAGGCAGAGGCAGGTGGATCTCTGTGAGTTCGAGGCCAGCCTGGTCTACAGAGCAGGTTCCAGGACAGCCTCCAAAACAATACAGAGAAACCCTGTCTCGGAAGAATCCAAATAAACAAATAAAGCCAGAAAGTCAGCTTTAAATAAGGAAGGTTCTTCCACAAGTTCCCCACACTTCCCTTCAGATCTAAGCAGCCTAATTAACCACTGCCTAGGATAACAGAACTACAAAGACCTGTTTAGAGTTTATATTAATCAAGACCCACCCTGGATTTTGAGAATGACAAATTCCCTGTTAGCAAGATGGTGGGAATGGTACCCACTAGAATTCAAATGGTTGAGGTCTCTGCTAGAAATGACCAAGAGCAAAGCAACATCATAGTTTCCTCACTAACAAAGGTCTGAGCAGTGAAGTTTGACAGCAAAAACAGTGTAACATATAGCCCCAGGGAGCACATACCTAAAGAGGCAACAGAGCGGACTCTGGGTAAAGGCCAGCTATATGATAACCAGTACCCAATAGGCCTCCATTACTAGCCTTGCACTAGTTACCTAATCTTCTCAAAGTACCAATTCACTGTTGTAATGGGGATTACCCAAACTACCTAGGATCACACACCGTGATTAAATATATCCTTACTTTAGTCTGACCACTCAAGTTAAGCTGGAAGTCAGCTGGCTCTACATACTAAAAATTCTTTCTGGGATTCTGGGACTTTGGTCAGGTTTCATTCTTTCGATGAAGAACTTACACATTTTAACACGAAAAAAAGACACTTCACTTAACACACACACACCCTTTTTTCTTCCAATATAGGGTTTCTCTGTGTAGCCCTGGTTGTCCCGGAACTCACTCTGTAGATCAGGCTGGCCTTGAACTCAGAGGTCCTCCTGCCTCTGCAGTGACAGGATTAAAGGTGTTCGCTACCATCCACCAACTCCATCTTAAATCTTGGAGCTGATAAGCAGTAAAATGTGGAAGAATCTCATTCCTGGCTGCTCCTTATTAGCTATGTTATCTTCTTTCAGATTGTTTCTCAATCTGTAAAAAGGAATCTCACAGATTACCTCTTGCCTTCCAGAGTTCCAGCTCTTATACTTTCTACAGGGTTCTGGAGGGAAATAACCGCTATTACTGAAGGTGGGGAAGAATGCCACATTATTTACATAGCTGGCTAGGCTCCACATACTCCCTTTCTAGAGAAGAGAAGCGGAGGGATACTGGGTCTGTTGCACACTGTGCTAGATATCTTCTCTATGCAATTTTGCTTGTAAATTAAGTAAGTGGATGAGGTATGAAGTCGGGCCAGTCCAGATTCGAAAATCACAGGTAGGGAAAATAATCTGTGTTCCCTCAGGATCAGGGATCATAAGAAATTTCAGAAATGCATTTAGGTGCTTCTCTTGAAATTAGTGGTGATCAATTGGTGGGGTGACCTGTAACTCTCTAGAGCAGGCAGACTCACAGAGATTCACCTACCTGTGCCTCCTAAGCACTGGGATGAAAGCCTCCGGACCTTCTTTTGTTTGTGTGAGACAGGGTTTCAGTATCCCAGGCTGCTCTCTAGTAAGTAACCTTTTCCGTTTCATTCGGACTAAAGACTTCAAACTGGACACATAACAAAATACCTTCACAACTTTATGTAGGGTTAAAACGGTCCCTTCTTTCCTTCAGTTCACCACTAGGGGGCCAGACCATATGAAGCAGTTAAATCCTACAGCTCAGGAGTAATCACCCTGTTTTAATCACTGTGTGACCTTGGATAAGTTACTTTACCACTCTAAGCCTCAGTGTCCCCATCTGTAAAACAGGAACAACAGCAACTATCCCACTAGGGATAGTTTATGCTAAACAAGACACATTAAGCAACAATGCCTGCCCATAGAGATTAGCAAAGTTCTTACTTTACTGATGGCGAAATAAATTACCAGTGCTGCTTTTGTTTCTGAATTCAAAGACTTCACCATCGTACTCTTTTGGGCAAGGGCCTTCGTATCCAGAGTCCTCTTTAAAAAAAAGATCAACAGGTCTCTCTTTTCCTCCTAATCAGAGTTGGTCCAGAAACCTCAAATCTCTGGCCTGCCTATGCCAAGAAGTCCTGGCGTTGGGCTTTCTAAACACTACAAAGCCTGTCACCGAGTCAAGCCGAACCACCCCATTTCTGCGCCGACGGGGGCATTTTCCTGGCCTTCAAAGGCCCAAGCTGTGCTGGACCCGGCCTGCCCTTGGTTACCGGTCGGGAGCTGGCCTGCCCTGCGTCTCCTCTCCAGAGGACTCTCCCCTCTACGTGAGCAGGTAAGACTTCGCCTCGCTCCGAAGCACGTCGGCCAAATGCCCGCGGGACCGGGCTCCCCGTGGCGGCGTCCAGGCCTGCCGCCCGGAGCCCGCTCCCCAGCTCCCCAGCAGGCGCAGGGCGAGGGCACGGCCCTGCCTTCCCCCGGGGACGCACGAGCTCCGGCCCGAGGCCACCACGTGGGGACACCGGGGGCGCTAGGCATCCGGAACCAGCCCCGGGGGCTGCTCCCCGTGCGGCCCTACGCCGGCCCTAAACTGGCCTGAGGGGCGCTCCCGACCTGATTTCTCCTCCCATACCTATCTGGACGCTTCCGACATCTTCTTCAGACTAAAGACAGGCCCTCGCCAGACCCGATCCCCAAGACCTCAGCCCGAGCACCCATCTGCGAGCTGCCTCACTCACCCATCGCGGCTCCGCTCGCTCAGACTTGGCGGCGGCCGCAGCTGTAGCTTCAGCGGCAGCTTCGGCAGACAATATGGCGGACCTGCAGGACGGCGGCCTGACAGGGACAAACATTTTAAACCGTACTAAACGCGTTCTTAACTTTCACGCCCCCCTTCCCTCTTGGAGATGACAGGATGAGGCTGCGTTTAAATGAGAAGGCAGCCACTACAGGTGTCAGTTAGGAACGGAGTAGACAAGACTGAAGGGAGGGTAGAAGGCATATATAATGAACAATGTGCCAGGCTCTCAGTTTTTTGTTTTTATTTCTTCTTTATGGTGAGGCCTCCTTTCCCAGAAAGATATCCCTTCTTATTATAAGTAAGCCCATACAGAACTGAATAAAGATCGTCTAGAGAGGGGACGTGATTTGTTCAGGCTATGGAGATGAGGGGAAAAAAAGACAGGGTCTCCCTATATGCCTCTGGCTGACCTGTAACTCTCTATAGACCAGGCAGACTCACAGAGATTCACCTACCTGTGCCTCCCCAGCACTGGGATGAAAGCCTCCGGACCTACCTTTCTTTGCTTGCTTGTATGAGACAGGGTTTCAGGTAAGAAGAAAAGGATGACTTTGAACCCAGATCTCCTGCTTCTACCTCCGCGGCGCTAAGATCAAGATCACAGGTGTGCACTATCACACCAAGAGGAGTTTAAAAGACACTCCAGGGAGGGAGGGAGGGAGGGGGGGAGGGGAGAGAGAGAGAGGGAGAGAGAGGGGGGGGGGTGGGAAGGAGAGAGAGAGAGAGAGAGAGAGGAGAGAGAGAGAGAGAGAGAGAGAGAGAGAGAGAGAGAGAGAGAGAGAGAGAGAGAGAGAGGAGAGGAGAGAGGAGAGTAGCAGAGTACAGTAACTCAAACGTAGAGTCAGTTCTGTATTGCTTGACACCATGATCACCACCTTCCACAGGCTCTGGTTTATGACTATTGAATGAATAAAGAAAAGATAAATTAACAGATTAGTGAGCTCCCTTTCCTAGCGATGTGGAAATTAAAGCTTTTGCCTTCTGAATCAAGGAGTGCTGGGCATCATGATACCTAGTGCAACACAAGGAGCTGGAGTTATGGCCAATCTTTATTCTGCATCTTTTTTTTTTTTTCCCCTGAGACAGGGTTTCTCTGTGTCTTTGGAGGCTGTCCTGGAACTAGCACTTGTAGACCAGACTGGTCTCGAACTCACAGAGATCCGCCTGCCTCTGCCTCCTGAGTGCTGGGATTAAAGGCATGCGCCACCATCTTTTGGAAGGAGAATGAAGACTCTTGTATCTGGTCCTCAGGGCCTCTCACGAATTGCCAAGTCTACGTAAATGCCTGGCCAATTAAGGGGAAAAAACTCAACATGAGCAAAAGGAATATTGTGTTTAGCTTCCTCAAGTAGACTGCACCATGCTAACTTGGCTCCTTAACTCACAGATGTCCAGGCCAATTGCCCCCGCACCCCATTTTCTTTAAAACCATAGACATTAAGGACCAGAGAGATGGTGGCAAGTAAAAGTACTTATTGCCCAAGCCTGATGACCCACAGAGCTGGACCCCGGACTTTCTGGTGCACAGGGGTTTCCAACCCCTGAAATTTGTACACTATCTCTTCACACATTCTGTGACACAAAAATACCCGCTTGTGTATACACACACACACACAAGCACATACACAACTACTTAAAAACAAACAAAAATATTAGTGTTTGGATTAGAGATTTAGCTCAGTGGTGGAGTACTGGCCTAGCAAGTACAAGACCCTAGGTTTAGGTCTGAGCTGTGGGGAAAAAAATACACACACACACACCCACGACCAACATAAGAAAACAAAAGAAAGGTAACTACATTAGTGTCACTTTTTTGCCTAGCTATTTTTCACATCCCGATTTCAGGAACGCCCAAACATCTCAGTCTGGCACATAGGCTGGTTCTTGGGCCACTCACCAACAGGAAGTTTAGACTCCAACCGTAGTTGAGAGAACCTTTTCCCCAAGCAGACTCCTATCTTCTCTGTGTCTGTATATGTAGTTCTCTCAGCTTGGGAAGCAATACATCCTTCGCCTTGTTTGACCATGTGATAAACCTTCCAAGATCTATTACCACTTCTCCCGAGAAGTCAGTCTTCAGGTCCTCTGCTCCTACAGCTGTACCCTGCTTTCTTTAGCATTTCCCAGTGATTTGCTCCCACGGTATATTCACATCTCCTATCATCTTAGGAAAGGAAGAGATCTTCCTCATCCTTGTTATCCCAACTTTAGGCACAGTGCCTGATAAACAGAGGCACCAAAACTGTCAAGTCCCTGTCCCCTCCACCACAGCTCATCTGCACACCCTGGGCCGAAAGCAGAGGTTAAGGTGAATGCATCCCTTTTCCCTGGAGCACTCTAAGTATGCCTGGAGGAGCCAGACCCTTCACCCAGCTGTGTTTCCATTCTAGGACACAATCTGTTCCCAGTAACATCTTCCCTCAGCCAGCATCTGACCTTTCCAGAGACCTTTCGCATTTTTCCTTTTCATGTGACAGGACACATTCTGCTCGTGCTCTCCCAACACAACAGACCTTTCAAACCTCCTATCCTGTGCTCTCACCGGGATGCTTTCCTCCTCAAGCCCACCTAGTGGCCAGTGCAATCATTACAGCCTCCCTGCAGTGCTGCTTTCTCAGGAAATAATCCCCCTCTCCCACCCCGAGACAAGGTCTCACTGTGTAGCCCTGGTTGTCCTGGAACTGGCTGTGTAGACCAGGCTGACCTCAAACTCTAGCTCCCGAGTGCTGGGGTTAATGGTGTGCGCCACTACACCTGGCCTAAATACAAATTTTAAAATTACATTGATTGGAAACCAGATAGAGGCAGAGGCAGGTGCATCTCTATGAGTTCGAAGCCAGCCTGGTCTACAGAGCTAGTTCTAGGACAGCCTCCAAAAGTACACAGAGAAACCCTGTCTCGGATTGAGCTGGAGAGTTGGCTCAGCACTTGCTGTTCCTGCAAGGACTTGGGTTTGATTACCAGCAAACATTTGGTGGCTCCCAAACCATCTGTTCTCAGGGGCTTCAGTGCCCTCTTCTAACCTCCAAGGGCACTAGGCACACATGAGCATATACACACATACATACATATAGGCAAATCATTCATATACAAAAAATAAATCTAAAAATAAGTAAACATTACATTTGATGTGTAAGTAGAGGATAGACACAGCTTATGGGGTCATTTCTCTCCTCCCATCAGGGCCCAGGGATTGAACTCTGGTTTTCAGGGTTGGTGCAAACTGCCTTGACCCCAGCCTTCTTACCAGCATTCCCTCCCCACTGTGAAGCAGTGTCCTGGCTGGCACCTCGCACAAAACAGGGTTGCAGTGACTGCATGCTGGGAGAAACAAGATCTATTCTACTAGGACAACAGTGTCACCACCTTTCAGAGGATTTATTTTTTAATATTTCATTAGTTTATTTTTATTTTATATGCACATTTGTCTGTGGGAGGATGTCCCCTGTAACTAGAGTTGTGAGCTGCCCTGTGGATGCTAGGAATTGAACTCGGATCCTATGGAAGAACAGCTAGTACTCTTTTTTTGTTTGTTTTTTTTCGAGGCAGGGTTTCTCTGTATTGTTTTGGAGGCTGTCCTGGAACTCGGTAGACCAGGCTGGTCTCGAACTCACAGGGATTCACCTGCCTCTGTCTCCCAAGTGCTGGGATTAAAGGCATGCAACACCAACACCCGGCCAGCTAGTACTCTTAACCACCAAGCCATCTCTCCATTCCGAGAGGATTTTTATACCCAGCTAACCATTCCATAGCCTTGTTACCATGGCAAGTCACTAGAGCTGTACGTTTCAGTTCAGCACACATGTCCCTAGGATTGTCAAAATGAGGATGACAAGGCCTGGAGAAGTACACACAGAAGCATTTGTACACAGCTGGCCTTAGGCTAGCATTAGCAATCACAGCTACCTTGGCTTCTGGGATTTAGAGAAGCCATGAGGAGCATCCCAGCTTGGAAGCCCACACCTCTGACTCCACAAATAAAGAACCACAGGACACAGGCTTGTTGGGAGTATAAAAATAAGACCTTTTTCTTCTTATCACATCAATTATCAAAGAAAAAAACATACGTAACAAAAATACAAAGCTCTGGTGGATTTTTTTGGGTTTTTTGTTTTTTGCCCCTCCCCCAACACAACCCCGACAGCCCTTGGCCAGGAGGCCCTTGGGTGAAGCCTGGATGCTGTCTCAAGGATCACCCTGGAGCTCAGGAGAACCGGTGGTCCAGGTCTCTCTGGGGACTGGCTGAGTATGAGTAGGCTTTGCCCAATACCAGGCGGTCTCGTAGCAGCTTGAAGAAGGCATAGTAGTTGCTGAAGAGGATGAGGGCCAGTGAAATTGTCTGGTGCCACTTTTCCGAGGACATTAAGGAGTACAGCTGGTAGACAATGACAGCGCCCTCCAGCAGCAGGAGGATGTTAAGGATCCTCAGGGGGTTGCTGAAAAAGAACTACCCAGGGGAGGGTAGGCAGAGGCTAGAAGAGTCTTAGCACACTGTAAAGGGACAAGCTCTTGGGGGCCCGCGTGTATTTGGGTGGGGGAAGACTGTGTAAGATCAGGGGTGAACTCTCTCACCTATCTGTCTTTGCTTATAGTGTTCAACTAACTCCACATAAGCTGCTAAAGATATTTCTGGTATTTGTTATCAGGCTGGCCTTGAACTCACAGAGATCACCGTAACTCTGCCTCCTGAGTGCTAGGGATTAGAGGCGTGGGCCACTACCCCCCCTGTTCCACTCAACTTTTTTATGTCAGC